GCGGGCCGGGGCTGCTCCCCCCGCGAGGGAGCCCCGGCTGGGCTGGGGGCCGCTGGCCCTGCCTGGGGTAGCGGAGGGCCCGGGACTGGGCTGCCGAGCGCCCTGCCACGGGAGCTGGGGAGCCTGCGGGGCGGCTCTGCCCGGCTGGCGTTTTCTCTTCACCGAGGCGAGGTGCCGTCTGGCAGCGGTGGCTTTGCTTTGAGCGTCGGCGCCGTGTCCCGCTTGCTAAACGATAAATAACAGGAACCGGTTAAAAATCCCCTGGCAGGGAACAAGGGGCTTCTTGTTTCTTGCCTGGAAATGAGAAGCGGAGGAGAAGCCGCTGAACTTTATGTGCGGTGGCCCCAGAGCTGTGGAGCTCGCCTCCGTGGGGCCGGTGTTTGCTCCACTCCCCGGGGAACGAGGTTTGCTCCAGTCCCAGGGGAACGAGCTCTGCTGGGACCCTGCTCCCTCGGGGTGGCAGCGGCCCTGGCAGCCTGGCTGTGGCTTGCACGGGAAGGGATCCCGACGCTGAAGTTACCGATAAGGGACTGAAAGCGGAGCTCATCCGAGACCGGCTGCTCGCTCCTGGCTGGGCCCCCGACGCTGTAACCCGACGCTGTAAAGCCCGGCTCTGCTGGCGCGGGCCTAAGGTCACTGTCACCTGTGAGTCTCCCGGGTTGGAAATGAATCCCGCAGCTCTGCCGAGCGCTGGAGGGCGGAGGCAGCAGCGCCGAACGGCGGACGTGGCAGCGCAGGGTGCTGAGGTGGGGTGCCAGGCCTGCGAGCGCACGCCGGGCAGCCTCGGCGCCGCCGCAAAGGGCCCTGGAGGCTTTGGGGAGCAAGAGGCGCGTGTGGCTCAGCAGCCCGTTCTGCTGCCGAGGAGCTGGGGCTGCGCCTGTCCCGAGGCCCAAGCCTCAGTGTGGGGCAGGGGAGAGCTGGGCCGGGGGGTCCCACCCTGGTGACGCTTGCACAGCTGTTTTGAACATCTTCTTTCCCCCCTCCAGCAGCGGCTGGGGGATGAGCCCTCCCCGTTGTCCCGCTGCCCTGAGTTAGGGCTCCCCTGTCTATGAAAACAGGGTAAATATTTACTGCACGTTGCCTTGGACTCCTTCGCTTTGAAAGGCTTTTTCTGTGGCGCAGCCATCCCGGGGCCGCGCCGGTGAGCCGTGACGGCTCCTGGTAGTGCCAGGCTCGCAGCTGCCGAGCTCTGTGTACTCAAACCTCTGAACTGGGGCCGGCGGTAAGGTGACTCCCTCTATTTTTTTTTTTTTTTTTCCCCCTAACCACCTTTGTATCAAAACTTGATCTGTGAGCGCTGGTCGCTCTCTCTTTGCAGCTTGGGTTACAGCTCCCCGCCTGTCTGTTAGTCATCGCTGGGGATGCATGCATGGCTTTTATTTCTTCCGAGGCCACCCCTGCTGCTGTTTTCTCTCCAGCTGGAAGGGGTAGAGGTGGTTTCCCCCCCACCCAAAGCAGCAGAGGCCCCATCACTGCCCCTGACTGGGGGAAGGGGGGGGGGAGAAAATCAAGGCTTTGGCATGGGTAAGCAGCTGGCTGCCTTCCCGGGCTGGCAGGCTGTAATCGGGCGGCACAGCCCGCTCTGCCCCGGCTGCTGAGGATGGCTGTGCCAGCGCCTGATTGCTGTGCCACGTCTCCCCCGAGCCCCAGGACGCTGGAAAGGAGGGGACGCAGTGGGGACAGCCGTGCCTGGTGGGGCCACGGCCCCACAGAAGGGGCGAGACCGTGGTGCTGCCGTGGCGGGGGAGGACAGCGGTCAGCCTTGCTGCTCCTCGCTGCAGTGGTGCAGCTCCCCTTCCAGCCCTGCCCGTACGGTCATGGTGGGGGGGGGGTTTGTTTTGGTGGTGTTGGTTTTCTCGCCCACCTTCTGCTGCACTAAAGGAAACCCACACAAACCGGAGGGGAAGCTGCGATGCAGAGACCTTAGCAAGTGGGCAAAGAACAAGTGAAAAGATAGTGAAACTTCCTGTCTTTGGCAGAGTTTCAGTGAACTTTGAAACCAAAGCGGTTGTGTTAAATGCCCAGTGAGCTTCTCGCTCATCGCTACGTCTAATTTTCACACAAAATCATCTAAGTTACGGCCATTCCTAAATTGTGCATGTGTCTAAGTAACGCTGACTGTAGAATTGTTACTAACAGAAGCCAAACACCTTTGGGCGTACCCGGGGGCAGTGCGGTCTTTCTCCCAGAGGCTGTAGCTTTATGGCAGTGAAGGTGGCTGCTGCTGCTGGGGCCGGCAGGCTCGCTGCCTCTTGCCCGCTCTGGGTGGTGCTGGGGCAGCCGGTGTCTGCTCCCTGCCGGCTCGTGCCGCGCGGCAGCTGGTGGTGCTGCGTGTCGGCTGCATCCCCGGAGGAAGGAGAACCAGCGAAACCAGCCCTTGCTGGGGCAGGGGAGCGCCCGGCTCTGGGGGCGGGGGGGGGGGGCGAAGAGCCAGCCCAGCCAGTAATTATATGGCCAGGACGGGTGTTGCCGCTGCCTTCGATAATCGGATGATAGGGCCCGTTGCCGATCGCTGCGGAGGCTGCGTGGCAGGACGGCGCCGGCGGCTCTAGCGGCATGCTCTGGCTGGGTGATGGCAAACACGAGGTGCCGTGGGTGTCTGGCTGCAGGGGCACGCTGGGGTCCCTCCCCAGCCCCGGCTGCCCGCGGGGGCCGGCTGAGACGTGCCTCTGCCTCCACGGGAATGAATCCCTTCATCTCGCCTTGTGTGCTGGCGGAGTTAATTACCCAGAATGTCTAACTACTAACGTGCAGCTGCTTTAAACAGACCAAATCCTTGGAGCAAGCCGTGGTTCAGCAGCATAGCGTGCCGTGAGGCTGTTAGCTGTGACCCGGAGGGGTACAGGGCCCCGTGGAGGAGGATGCAGTGCCTATTGCACTAACACTGATGGCTGATGCGCTGCCTCCCCCGTTGTCCCCGTCATGGGCTCTCCCCGTGCAGCTCCCTGTCCTCGCGCTGCTGTAGCCGCCCCAGGCCCTGGGGGTCTCGAGTGGGCTCAGTCCCTTCTGCCGTGTGTCCCTGCAGGAGGATCGAGGACTGCCTGCCCCCGCTGGAGGATTCCCCGTCCAAGAGGTTCTCCCCCTCCAAGCGAAAGCAGTATTATATCAACAAGGCCATCCGCAACTCGGACCTCATCCCCAGGGCCAAGGGGCGCAAGAGCCTGCAGAGGCTGGAGAACAGTAAGGATCTGAGTGCTGACTCTTCCCGGGCTGGGTCTCTTCCCCAGGGCGGGTGGCCGCTGCCCCTAAACCCTCTGCTGTGTGGCAAGTGGGGGGGTGCTGGGGGCGCAGGGCCTCTCTGAGGGCACTGCCTCCCCTCTCGGGGGCTTTGCTCTTTCCTCCTAGCTCGCTACCTGATGACACTTCTGGAGCGAGATGAATGTGGGAGTGACGAGGGAGAGCTCGCCCACTCCGCCACCCCGAGCATCTTCACCGAGGCCTGTAACAACGAGACCTACGTGGAGGTAGGCGCAACCAGCCGCCTGCTCGGGGCTCACTGGGGAGGCCCTGGCATGGCACGTGCAGCTTTGGCAGTACGTGGTGTCTGTACCTTGTTCCTCTGACCCGAGGAGCCCTCTGCCTCCCCGGCCTGAGCTGCTGTGCCCTAACTCCTGCCTGGTGTCAGACTCGGGTCTGGCATCTGCGTGCCCGCCTGCTGCCGCGTGTGCTGGGGGGAGATCAGGTCCCGGTGCCTCTGGTCCTGCAGCCCGTGGGGTGGGGGATCTCTGGGCAGATCCTCTTGTGGAGGATCCGCACAAATGCGCGGTGCAAGGGCTGGGTCGCGCTCAGAGCCTGGCCAGGCCGGCTTAGTGGAGGCTGCTGCTGCCCCCGGCAGTGCCCGGAGCGCTGCCGAGTGTCCCAATGTACAGCGTTGTACCTGTGGAGCGACTAACACTGGGAGAGCTGCAGCACTTCCTCCGAAACAGGCCCCTTGCCAAACCCCTCTGTTGCTTCACGCTGCCCAGCCGGTGTTGCGATACCGGCTCTGTAACTGGGCGTTTTGAAACTTGGCTCCTCTCCTGTTTGATGCTCAGGGCTTTGGCTGCAGAGCAACCTGCACGGTCTGTGTGTGCGCTCTTGGCTCCGCAGAGCTCTTCTCTCGCTCATTCAAGCCAGGCTTTAGGAAGCGTGATGTAGACCTGGGTTTGAGGCTGGATTGCACAGATGGGCTGTTGTGTCAGCACTTGGACTCCCAGTAACTGTTAAAAACACACCTTTGTATGTTAGCTCCAAGTGTTAAATCTGCATCTCCTCCCAAAGCAGTGGTTACAAGCTCTAATGGACGATCAGGAGCTGGAGAGACAGGGAGAAAGATCGCCATTGCTGCGGCTCGTGTCTGCCGCGGTCTGCCTCCATGCTGGCTGGGGCAGCATCACAGCTGCGGAGCTCTGCCCAGCCCCGTTTGTTCCCCTCTCCGAGCTGCTGTTCCTTCTCTGCCTGGGCCGTCCCTGGGGACGGGTGGGTGAGGAGGAGGCTCACAGGGTGCCAGGTGGGGCTCTGAGGGTGGCCGTGCACCGCCGGGTGCTCCCTGACGACCTCTGCAGTGGGGCCCGGCGGCTTGTGTTGTCAGATCTGGAACGACTTCATGAACCGGTCAGGAGAAGAGCAAGAGCGAGTCCTGCTCTACCTGGAGGAGGAGGCCAGGAAGAAGCACAAGAGGAAGCTGCCCGTCAAGAACGAAGACAAGTGGAAAGGTGGTGGGAGGGGACGCTGGGTGGGGAGAGCCTCTCCCTTTCCTCCCTTGCATGCATTTTGGGAAGGGCGCTTTTCCCTGAGGGCTGCATCCTGCTCCCTGCGCCATCTGCTCATGACGGGGCCAGGGGATGCTGAGACGACCCCTCGGGTGCTGCAGCGGGGGCGGGTTATGCCCAGCAGACCCCCCGTGGACCCAGGAGGGTTCGTGGGAGTCGGGAATGGCTGGGGCGACGGGCACAGCAGCCGTCCCCCGATTGCAAGCCCCCAAATCTCAGCACCCTCCCAACGCTCCTTTGCTGGGGAGGGTGTTGCTGGTCTGGGGGTGACTTTGTGCAGATCCACGAACGAAGGCGGTGGGCAGCTGGGGTCCTCTGGGGCAGTTAGGGGGATGTTGGGCTCCTTCTGAGAGGTGATGCTGTGGCGGCTGCGGCCGGAGCCGTCCCGCGGGCGCTGGGGATGTGAGCCATGTCCGAGTCCCTTCTGTCTTCTCTCCGACGGCTCCAGAGCACCCTGCCTACACGCCCAAGGAGTGCTTCCAGCGCATCAGCCGCCGCCTGCGCTCCACCC